AGGAAGAAAGAAGAGGAAGAAAAAAAGAAGAAAAAGAGAAAGGAAAAAGATGAAGGAATTATATTAATTTATTTTTTTAAAATATAAATAATGATAATAATGTGAGTTGGCATGAAAAAAAATCCACATCAACATGTTTTCAATTTGTTTTTGCCACGTCATCAAAAAAATAATAAAAAATGTCACGTGAGCGAGTTAATGATCGAAATTAATAGAAGGACTAACGGAGTGCATTTCGTATAATTAAGGGATCAAAAAAGTGCAAAAAATTGTTAAAGGACCAAAAATGTGCAACTCACTAAAGTTGAAGGACCAAATCTAGCATTTAACCTTTGGGAAATCAAGTTTGGTTCCTAATCGGTGAAACGAGAAATGGGGAAATTAGGTATATTGTGGAACCTAGATGATGTGGAAAGTAAAAAAGAGAGGGACCCATGGACATAGTGTAAAAAAATGCACAAATGGTACACATAGTCTCCAGGTGTAAGAAAAATGCCGTGTCATCGTAGGTCAAAGGAAATTTTTAACGGTAACGACGTCATCTGGTAAATAATGACCGATTTGGATGAATCGATACTTTTAAAGGGTCAAATGTTCTTATTTTTTTTTTAAGATGGATCCGTCCCTACTCATATTTTTTAAGGGGCGATTTGAGGGTTCTGCCTTAGCCGTCGGAGGTATTAATTAATGAATTGATAAAAAGTGGTTTTGATATGTAAAATGGGTCATTATGGGAAAAATCAATTTAGACGGTTGGGAGCTGGGTCGAATTTTTATATGGACTCAATTGGAATGGAGTTGAGTCGCTCAGCTTGGGCCAAGACCTAGGCCGCTAGCATTGTTGGTGTAGCATTCTGATATTGGGTTGGGCTGTTAGATTGGCCCAAAATCGTGGCGATAATTGCCCATATACAACACCACCAGATAACCCACGTCCACGTGGCAATGCGTGACAGCCCAGCCGCGGAGAATCACGGAACAGAATGACGTAGTGCATTCCATGTTACCCAAAAGATTTTTCTAACCTTTGTTGTTGGCTACAGGTTAAGCTTATAATTAATTTATTTTTTATAATTAATTTTAATTAAAAATATAAATATTGATTTTATTTTAATTAATTAAT